CTCAGGAGTTCCCAAGTCTCCTTAAACTTCAGCCAGCCAGCCCTTCATCTTCTCTCATCTCAAGGTCAACGGGTGTCTATGAAACATGGCCTAACTCAACACATGTCTTCATTGTTGGTAACCAGCAAGTTTATAAGCCTGCTTACAAACATGCCTTTATGGCCATGTTTGACAGCTAGTGTCCAACATTCCCATCCCTATCAACCTAGTACACTGAGAAAAACATAATCCTTGATCTGAAGACTCTTTCAATCTGGTTGGGATTTCGAGCAACTGCATCCATAAGCAAAAGTCCAGTCCATCAAATTGTAGTAATTGACGCTTGTTCACAGTATCAAACATCTTTCTCTTCCTTTGGTCACGTTCTTGTCAGCTCAGCTCTAGCCATCCAAGTTAGTCAAATGTATACCAGCTGCAACTTTGGACGTTCACACACACCTCCCTGCACTTCAGATCTGCTGGCCCCTTCACTGTCAGCGCTGGCCCCCAGGGGCTAGGTTAGTTTCCAGGCTTGTTTTTAAGGATAGAAAGATCCAAATACAGTCTGTTGTGTCTAGTTTAGCACTAGGACTGAAGTGATAACCTCTTAAGAGTTCTCCAGGTACTCCATTCACTGCTAGGTAGCTCCACTCTGATTCTTGGGAATGTGAACTGTTCCCACCCCTGAGAAAGCTCTGTAATTGATCTACCTGTTCCTTTCCAGTGATTTTTTTTTTTTAACCTGGACTTTGGTAGTTTCACAAACATTCACTGATGACACTTCATTAGTCTTGAGGAGAACCTTCTTCAAATTAATGAGTTTTTTCCAGTCACGGAAGAAAGATGTTGCAGTCTGCTCCTGGGTACCCTAGGGGCAGTTCTATGTCCGGGGTCGTTAAGAGTCTGAACTGATTAAACAGCAATGGGTTTGGGTTTTTCTCTCTCTTGTATTTGGCCCTGTGAATTCTAGCTGTCTTGGCCTCACAGAATTCTATTTACTCAACTCCAGGAGGCTGCATAATTCTGTTTGGGTTCCCCATCCTAGTAGTGTGGCCTGCAGACTGCCTCCAAGCAGTAAGGTGAGGACAGTCATAGGACTCACTTCATTTGTTTCCCATTTCTCAAAGATCCTAATAACCTATTGTTTCCAACATAGTCGTGCTTTTAGCTAGGTAAGACAGGGGAAACCGTCCCTGTTGAGCCCTCTTTTCCAGAAGTGGAAATGATTTCACTTTGACTGTCTTACACATTTTCCTAATGAACAATCAGTAAGCATATATTGATAGGCCCTGTCCCTCAACCTCCGGTAATGCATCCCAGTCATTCCATGTGACCTGCCGCTATGGTGAACAATCAGTTTTCATTCGAATTTTATTTTTTTCACAACTGACCAGGGCAGTAAATACTACTCTTATGGTGTTTGTAAGACTCCTAGAATTTCAGAAGCTACTGCAAATATCTTTGAAGTTAAATTAATTTTCCTGTAAAGGGGTAGAGGGCATGTCAGGAAATACTTAAACATGAAGAAAGTTCAAAATAGGTACCTTAGGTTAGAAACCAATGACTTAAAAACTACAAAAACTCTTGGTTTTGGAAGAACTCTTGAATTCTCCCCAGCTTCACAGCAGGTCAGATGATTTCCAGAAAGCAACTCAGGGTTTGGCCTATTTAGTCTTCACTTCCCGCCTGCTGGCTGTGCCCTACTTCCTCTGAAGAGCTCACAGAACAGGGCATAGACAAAGAACATTGAAGTAGGTGACAAGGAGCATCTGAATTGACTGGCTCACTCTCATTTACTAGTAAATAGATTAAAACACTTTGTACTGGGGCAGTATTCATCACAGTAGCAATCTCTCTCCAGGGTACTGGTCCCTCAGGTGCTGCTCATTGTTCAGTGAGCCCATGAAAGGGTGTTTCAGAAAAGTGTTTAGCTTCACAGCTAGTTGTTAACTTTGCTTAGATTGCAGATTATGCCATGTAATGCTTCTTTAAGAGCTAGGAAGATCATCCTTGAACCAAGGAAAGGAATACTCTTGAATCCTTCCTTGGTCAAAACGATCAATGTCTTAGAGGAAGACGATGAAAATAAAAAAGGTTCATCTCATTTTCAGATTAACGTTTACACAATTTAGGTCAATTTCTTTTTTTTTTTTTAATGAGAGAATGGGGAAATGCAATCAGTAGCTTTGAAGCTGTGTGAAAACTGTATGGGAGCCTTAGTGTGTCTGAGAAAGGCTGACTCAACTAGGTAAGACAAGATGAAGCGTATTTATGAGCACATTAAGAAACACCAAGGATCTTTCAACAGTGAAATGAGTTCAGCTGTTAGAAAAGGCACTTACAGTTTGGGTGCAATTTGAATCCTTCTTGGCTTTTTGCTGAGGAATGCTGTTAACGATTCTAGCTAGTTTCTGTGGACAGCTTCCAGCTTGTTAGCACAGTGAGTGAAATGCAGGTGGGCAGGGTCTATCACCTGAATTTTCACAACACTTTCCTAGATTGTGCAATTTTTCCATCTGCAAATGATGACCTACTACCACCTGTCCATGCATTTATATATATATATATATATATATTTAAAACATTTTCTACATTGTAATATATTTTGCTTATTGAGGTGGCTTGAATTTTAGTGGCTGGGCTTTTCCCAATTTGTTAAATTACAGATTAAATAGTAATATATCTATGTATATATATATGTGTGTGTGTGTGTGTACATATATATATATTTATATACACACACACACATATATATATATACACACACATATATATATACTCATAGATATATATGAAAGCTATTTAAGGAACATTTCTTGAAAAGTTAAATACGAGGATAAGTCAAAAGTCATTCATGGATTTATTCCAAACAGAACATGTTTAAACAGTAGTCTATAAACAATATTTTACGTCCTGCTTTGGTGAGTAGTGACTGGGATCTTCAGAGCTCTTGAGTGTGTCCACCTAAGGTGTTAACTATTGATCTCTCCATGTGCAGAAGAAATTAGATCGACAAAAATTGAAGATGTTAGGACTAATGGAACATGTGAACAGCAGTCTCCATGACTCTGAGACCAGAACTTGATGGTGCCAGGTTACCACTACCAACTACTCTGAAAGGGATATTCGGTCCTGTATACAGTGAGATCATTCTTCATGGATCAACTATCAACACTCATGGAAGCAGCAGTCAAGAAACCAAATGACGTATTGCATTAGGCAAATCTGCTGCACAAGACCTTTTTAAAGTGTTGAAGAGCAAAAATGTCAGCTTGAGGACTAAGGTGTGCCTGACCCAAGCCATGGTATTTTCAATAACCTCAAATGGCTGTGAAAAATGGACAGTGAATAAGGAAGACCGAAGAATTGATGCTTTTGAGTTACGGTGTTGGAGGAGAATATTAAAAGTGCCATGGGCTGCCAAAAGAACCAAAGGTCAGAAAAGTTGTACCAAGAAAACTGTCGTCATAATAGTGTTAGTGTGCCTGCTGATTTCAGGGTAACAAGGGCTGTCCCATGAGCTTTTGTAAAACCTTACCCCACCTACCATAAGGTGGTCATCCCTGATCTTGCTCCTTCAGACTTGTTTGCCAAACTCAAAGAACATTTAAAAGGAATACAATGAGTCCCTGAAGAATGCTAAACTTCCATATTGACAGGGGTGTAAATGGAAGAAAAGCACATAATTCCTCAAGGAAGCAGTAGAGAGATGGAACCACTATCTTTCTAAGTGTATAGATCTAGATGGAAGATGGAGCCTATGTTGACAAACAATAGCTTCATATTGGTATTTTTGTTTAATGTTTGTGATTTTTGTACCAGTACTTTTTGACTTACCCTCTTATAATACTGTTTGCTATCTCTGGTACTGATTTCCAACCCTCACTCAACCCCCATCGTTTCCAGGAGGATCCAAATCAGAAATCTCAATCAAATGATTATATATCATGTATTTATCTACCTGACTTTTGTTAATCAGTGTTCTAAATACTAAAGCAAATCAGAGCAATGCTGATTTTGATAAAGCATACATAATATTAAAGTGAAGGCAGGAGAACTGGCTGGATGAAGGTAAGTCTGCTTTTCAGCTACCTTTTACCAGTTTCTGTTGAGCAGACGCCAATTCATGGCATCCCCATGTGTGTCAGAATAGAACTTTCCTTCCTAAGGTTTTCAATGGCTGATTATTTTTAAAGTAGCTTGCCAAACCTTTCTTACAAGGTTCCTTACCAGGTTAACAGTTTGTACCATCCAGGAACACCTCATTCACTCTGTTCAGTGCCGCTGAGTCAGTTCCAACCCATAATGACCCTGTATAAGACTTCCAAGGAACTTGTTAGTGAGCTTGAACCGCCAACCTTGTGGCTCAAACTGACTTTGCAGTCCAGTGCATTAACCCATGGTGCCACACCAGGACTCCCAAGTTATCCCTAGAGGGTCAAGTGTGGGGCATCACGACCTCTGAGGATCAACGCCCTATAAAATGGTCTATTATCAGCATGCTAGACTTTATAGTTGATGCTTCCTGCCCATGTATCTCAATCATTGCATTGAATGTTTAAGGCACTACAGACAGTCCCCGGCTTAGGAGCAAGATCAGTTCCTAAGCACATCTCATAAGCTTGGTTTGTAGAGATGCCAAAACAGGTGCATACAGTTTCTATCTAGCCTTACTTAGTGCAAGAAGAGGCTCAGAGTCATTCAGGTGATTTAAAAGCTGCATGTGCAGCAGGTAAAAGTGACGAATTTGTTGATTGGGATGGTTCAACCTTTTCAAAGTGAGAACAAATTTACATAACATTAACAGGACAACTAGCTGTAGTCTATAGGTCAGATGTTTGTTATCTGGGGACTGCTTCTGTTTGTAATGATTGATTTTTCCCTTTCAGACTGGACTTTTTAAGTACAAGTACTTAACAGTGTTCTATTTAAAAAATTGTTTTTGATGTGATCCTCCTCCCTGCTTCCCCCCAAAGTACACCAATAATTTAAAAAAAATTTCTTTTCAACTTTTCAAAAAGGATTTGCTGTAAGCCTTCAAGTCATCTTATCCAATCCAAAAGCTGTATTTAAGCGCCATGGGTCCCAGCCAGGGATGCAAGAATCAGATTTTCTAAAACAGATAACAACAGTTGAAGAATTGGAACCAAAAGCAAACAACTGCACCAAGGTATTCATTTCACTCATACTGCTTGGCCTTGATGGGTGTCAGCACTAAGAATGTGGCTACCCAGAATCTTTCCCTCTTTAGGTTCTTGTGTGGCACACTCGGACAGAGAAGGTTAATCTAGCCAACGAGCCAAAGTACCACCTGGACACAGTGAAAATTGAGGTATAAATGAGAGCAGCAACTGGTGCAGTTTTCCTGGCCAATGGATGTGGAAGAGGAGGTTTGTCGTTTAGGCTGCAGAGAATTCAGGTATTGTTCATTTTACTTCAGTACAACAGCCTTTATTGTCATCTGATGGACATCTGTACAAACAGAGCTTGTTGGTTAAAATAAGCTAATTAGATGATAAAAGATGATGTTCTGTCTTCATTTGTTATGCATGTGTTCTCCCCAACCAAACATTTTTGTATAGTACAGTAACACTGCAGGATACCATTCTCTTAGCTCTTACATACTTTCCCCCTTACTTGTTGGCTTTGTAGAAACGAAAAGGTTTTGAAAACATTTGACAGGCACTTTGCCAACTGAATATTCCCAGTCTCTGACTTGGACTTTATAACACCAAGTAGTTTTTGAAAGGCAGTATATGTACCATAGGTAATAAAATCCACAAAAAAATGGGGGCTGTCTATGGATTCATCTGTTTAATATAGGGAAATAACATTTTATCAGTACTAGGCACCATAAAATGTAAACACAATTACTGTCATAAACCTGGATATACGTTCAAGAATTTACCTCCAAGAATTTAAAGTGGCTTTTATTGTAGTTACCCTGTTTGCATATAGTGCAGAGAAAAGTCTTTATGTTAGCACTATGCTCGCCGAATTAGGAGAGAGGCAGATAAAATAGTCATAAAATACAGTAACATCCAGGTTTATCTTCCTTTCACTAGCCACATTCCCTGTTACACACATCTTTATAACAACAGCACAGTGAATGATGAAGTCAAAGAATTTGATACACTAGAAAACAGTGCTCAGTGATACATTTACATTCTATTTATATGATTAAACATTTGATCATACAGTATCTTCCTACAGGTTTACTGGCTAATTTGGGACAGGGTTTATATTGTTAGAGGTATTACTAACATGATAACTACTACTTCCCTTAATGCAAACATTAGAGCTTTAATTTTATTGAGAGTAAAACTGATTATGCAAGTTGAGCAGCATCTCAAAGAATATGGTTTATGAAATCATGGGAAATATAAGCAAGGCTGCCCTTGACATAAAATGGTTTTTCAACCTGCTTTTCACCACATCAAATTTAATCAATACAGACCAACACACGGTCAGATAATTCTTAATATAAACGAATGGGGAAAAAAAAGTATGTACATGAATAAATGGGGAACTAGATGCATTTTAGCAAGGAATGTCAGGTGGTAGTTCTGGATGAAACTTGTATTGCCTTTTTCATTTCCAAAGCTGTGTGCTGAGAGTCTGACCCGATGGGCTTCCAGACCATCCTGCTGTTGTGTTTGGGGGCTGGCCAAAACCCACTGTGGGATTTGCACTGCTGATACTCATGCCAGCCATTTGCTGATTCATCTGTAAAACATCATATAAAATGCTTAGATTAAGATTACTTCACTTTTAATTCTTTCTGTAAGTATAGTTAGGACTACTATTAAACAATGTTTATCTTATTAGCAAGTTGCCTTTCATAGTTCACTTTGTCAGAGATATCTAATAGCAATGACTATAAATATTTTTCATCATTGTGAAAATTAGTCAGACATTGGGGGGGGGGGTAAAATCAGTACAATATAATTCTTTCTCTACAGAGAATAGCTACTTTTGTTTATTTTTTTCCCTTTTGGAAAGCACTGTCATAAGTGATCTCAATCATATTATAGTTACTCACTTTCTAGGCTCAAGGTCTTGTCTCCAAAGATAAGTCACACTGAAAAGGGGTGTATCAAAGTAATCTTTTAATATAAATGAATTGGGCAGATTATGAATGCTATAAAATTAGCACTGGGATATTGTTTTAACTATTAAGGATGTAGATAATGCAATGCTTCAAAGATTATACTTACTCGCCAATTATGTTATCTGGCATTCTGCTTTCACAATAGTAAAAAACAGTCTGTTTTAAACAGTCTTATTTTGTGCATTAGCAATTATGCCTGGCAGTAATGAATGCCGAGGTAAAATGGCTATATGTTAACTTGGCTGGGCTATCTTCCATTTTTGCAATAAGTACCCTGGTTGACGAGTAGGTTGATTTTTATATGCTGTAAAATATATTTACATGATTTGAAACTTACGCATAGGGTCAGCTAAGTAGTATTAACTTACTACAGTTCATCACTGATAAAGCATGAGTGTCGGAAAGGTGTGTCTTCAGCATTTTGGCTATACCAAAGCTGTTACTGACACTTAGTACTTATGAGGAATTATGTTTTTACATGAATTAGCTAGAAATCACTATAAACTGTTCCCTGATTGTTCAAGAGAAATCTAGGAGCCTTCCTCTATAAAACGAAGTCATGACCATCCAGGTCAGATTACGATCCATTGGGTTTTCAATGCTATAAATCTTCATGGGAGCAGACAGCCACATCATTCTCCTGCAGAGTGAATGGTGGTTGCCAACCTTTAAGGTAAGCCCTTAAGCCCTGTGCTAGAGCTCCTAACATGTCCTGTCCTGGGTTTAAATTTAACCTAGGTAGAAACAAGATATATGTATGAAGACGAACACATGGTTTTGATTAGATGGTAATTCTTAAACCAAAAAATAGGTTTACAAATCTAGTGGCAGTAACTTCCTCACATGGAGAATAGCCTAGATCCCTCACAAAACAGTTGTTGGAGAATGAAGCTGAAATTTTTTCTTATTTTTGAAAGCTATAGAAAACCAAAACATGAGTATAAACTTGTCTAAGTAGACTACCTACATCCTACCAGAAAGCTTAAATTAAAGCTTGGTGTTAATTCAAAAGGTACTTAATAGAAAGGGAGTCTTTGAATTAACTAATTCAAACAAATAAGAATGGTTTAGATCATCATTAGGTTAGGTTAATTTCAAAACCATTTACACAAATCTAGTTGCTTTGATTTAGAAGTCAGAATAAATGATTCCTACCTGTGAGAGGCTCCACTGGGGCTGCTGAGCTTGTGGCAGACCAAACTTATTCTGGGCTGCACCCATTTGTCCCACCATTCCTCCCTGCGGCCCGACGACATTTTGAGGAATTGGAATCACACCAGTTTGTGCATTTCCCATAAACCCATTAGGCATTGGCATGCCCACCATCATGCTTGTACTCTGTCCCATTACATTTCCCATAAGGCCAGGAGCTGCGGGCACAGGTACTCCCATCGATGGAAAACCTTGAAATGCAGTTGGTGCTGGTGAGGTAAATGGTATATTTGTAGGTCCCATAAACACACCTGCAACATAATCATCTCTATAAGAGCACAGCAAAAGGATTACGTTTCTGAACTACTCAAAGTAAAAATTTAATTCTTGTCTAGTTGCTCCTACTGTTCAGACAAACTCATACCTACACACTCAGAACTGGCTATTTGCAGAATGCAGAGAAATCAATTACATCCCACTCATCACTTACTACCTGGTTAGGTTCTAAAGACCAGAAAGTCAGTGTTAGGTGAAATTCCAGTGACCAAAAGTACTCTTCAGATTCTGGGAGTCCTTTGAGGCATCTCTCTCCCCTGGAGCCACCATTCTCAACTTGCTAGTGTCCATTCTGTGATTTCATAATTCCACTTTGGGAACCCACCCTATCCTCAACTCCCTTAAATTTCTTGCTTTTCATGGAAACACCAACTGGGACTTGTATCTATCTGTTGGCCTCAAACACACAAGTGGTGGATCTAAGGTTGGTCAGCAGTGACATGATCACTGTATGTAATGTCTGTGCCCCTTTGCTGCCTTCTCACAGACTCTCAGTGCACAGCTGCAGTTCTGTCACCAGCCTGGCTGCTGAGCATGCACACAGGTTAGTGACCTATATACACCTCTTTGTTCCCTCATTGCAGAGAGAGGGGATGGGAGGAATCAAGGATTTTGGGGCCTGGAGGGGGGAGGCACTCTCACTCAAAACACATGGGTCCTTATCTGGCTTTAAGGTAATTTGAATAGATTTTTCACCATTGTTGCAAATATGAAATACTAGATAATAAGGTAGATGAGATAGGACAAGCAAAGGGGCTTTTTTAAAAGTTAATGGAATTTTTACACAAATTTTTGGAAGTCCCCTCAAATAGTCTAATGAAATTTAGGAAAAATCTTTCTACACAATAAAAGTTCATTATCATCTTAAAGGAAATTGTTAGGTATCATTGCTAATATTTTCATTAATATGATATATTTGAAAGCTTTATGGACTCCAGGTAATTCACTGATTATTGTACCTGCAGAGAAAATATCATACTGTATCCCTAATCATGCAAATAAAAAGTTTAGTAATTCTTCATGTCGTTTAAGTTTGTGAAACCATATTAATGATATGTGAATAGAATTCTAATATGAATAAAGTTTTGTGAATTCTGTATGTACTTTTTCATTATCAAGCTTTTCTGTTTCTCAGCTGTATAAACGGCAATGATAAAAACATTACCACACAGAGAAGAAATGTAACTGACACTTGAAGGATATACTTTAGCAATGTCACTGCAATTCACTCAAAGTAGATTTCAGGAATCATTACCAGGAGTATTCTGCTGTTGAATGGTCGCTGTACCATACAGAGATAAGATGGAGTCTTTGGAGAGCTGTTTCTTTGTGGTTTCTTCTGACTTTGTAGTTTGCTCAGGGAATAGATCTAGATCCCCAGATGTTACTGTAGACAGGGAGGCAGCTACTGGTACTGCAGGTGTCCCCTGAGACAAAAACCAAAACAAGCTGTTGTAGTCTGCATAGTAACACATAGTTCATTCATTAAAGTGCTTAATAACTGAAATTAAAGAGAACCAATCACAAACCCAGATAAAACATCTAGGTCAAATAAATGTTCAAAGTTATCATAATAGGCTATGTCTGCCTGCAAGGCTGACACTGATTTTTTGTTTGTTTGTTCATTGCATCCTGAACACATTAGGCTCAACCAGTTACCTGAGATGCCTGAGCATCTCCCTCCCTCAGAAACTACTGCTCTGGGAACTGGTATCCGAACATTTCTACAACTATACAGACTGTAAGAAGAAATGCCCGACAGAAGGTTTTGGCTTTTCAAAAGCTGCACTGGGAGATTTTTATAAAGCTATCTTAAGATCAGTTTTAACCACAACATTAGAATGCTTCTAAATTACCCAGGAACTCAGTACACTAAAAAACATTAGCCACTAATACTATCAACCATAATCTATAAACTCCATTTTTGGAAAATGGACCAAATGAATACAAATAACACAAGTACTTCATATGAAACAAAACTTGATTATTCTCAACCCACATAAAGAGGTGAGAAACAAGTAAAAGTCAAAAGATCATAGACGCTGTTGGTGCTGTTAAGTGCCGTTGAGGCGATCCCGACCCATAGCGACCCTGTATAGGGTTTCCGAGGAGTGACTGATGAGCTTGATCTGCCAACCTTGCAGTTCAAATGGCTTTGCAGTCTGGCACATTAACCCACAGCGCCACACCAGGACTAGATATATATAATTTGCCATTAATTTTTTTAAACATTCAAACTAATATCCTGGCTAGTAAACATGCAAGCATTCAACATACAAATTTAAACAGAATAGTATTCTGAATCAATTTGATTATGCAAAAATTTGAAAAATAAAGGAAAAACCGAAATTAGGATAGAAAACCAAATATAACAGTATTGTTGAATAAATTATATCCAACCTACTAATGAAGAGGCCGAAAATCCTGAAGAGGCCGAAAATCCTAAAGGCTAAAAGTCTACCCGGAAAAAAGAACCCCTGCCCCACCACTCACTACACGTGTGCCCTTAGATATGTCACATTACCTCTCCACTTAGTGTTTCTTCTGTAAAATGACAAAAAGATCTTATGGAGTTGCCTGATGACCATGAGAAGTGCTTTGTACAAGGGCATGTTAAATTAGAGTTTACATTAATATTGTTAGATGACGATACCATTCTACGATCTTTTTACCTTATAAGCACTCAAGTGACAAACATTGATGAGGGGTGAGGTTGGGTGCTCTATTTGTCTGCACTATAACCTAAGGATAAGACACCATCAAAATACCTGTCATTTTTCACTTTAGGAGGCTGTAAGGCCTTCAATCAAAGGGGTTTTCTCTCCTTCAGGGAACCCAGGGCTGAACCAACAACAAGCCACACCACCTGTGAAGGTCTGGATACTGTAGGTGAATGTAAATTACAGATATAAGACAGGGGGCTTCCATCTGTCAACAATGGAAGTTCTAGAAGGGGTTCCCCCATCCTCAATATACATGTACCCCTCTTGTCAGATGAATAATTATAGCCCCCTAACAGATGGGCTAATACATAATAAATCTGTGTCATATTCAAGTAAGTAGGGAAAGCTTTTACAATGGGGGACACAATGCTCATAAAACAAAACCAGGAGTGAAAGAATATAGAGTGTTCGTTCAGAGTAATGCATAATCTTGACATATAAACTATTTGAATACAATTTAACACAATAAAAACCTACCAAAGTTAGTAAATTACATGACACCAGTGTATTTGTAAAATTTACTCTTTCTGTTCTACACATAAATTGGAGGCTACACTGGGATGGATCCTTTTTTATATGGTCTTCCTAGTCAAGGTCTTGTAACTTCCACCAGATGGTTGGATGGGAATTTATGAAGAAAGTGCTGTGGCTCACACCAAGATTAGACAGCTTGATAATACTGCACATAAAGTGCATGGCACTGTGTGTGTGTGTGTGTGGGGGGGCGGATAATGCAATTAAGGTATGGAACCCTAATGAGGGGGATTTTGTCAGTTTTGTCTTCCTGCTGGGCTTAAAATGAGCCATCACAAGGCAGAAAGAGGAACCTCCACCAAGGAGAAGAAACAGGAACTAAGCACATGCTTTGGATTTGAAGTCCTTGCACTTGAGAATCTTCTAGACCCACAAGACAGACAGAGCTGTAATACCGGCCAGAGTCTGTGCTTCATGGCCCACCAAATAAGATGGTTACTTACAGTGGGTGTGTTGACCAGCGGAGTAAGTGCCTTTGGGACCCACAAAGTGAGACAGTTAATCCCCTTTGGGCTGAGTCTTACTGGCAAAGCAGAGTGCCCCCAGGCACTTATACTGACCAGCTCAAGGGCTTTGTAACACTGCAGGCAACACTGAGAAAAGGTTGTCCAATCAAAGAACTGTATCCCGAGTTTTTCTTAATAGTTTGTTGTTTAGTATCATTCATTATTGTTTTGTTTTGACTCACAGTAACCCGGTCTAGGGTTTCCAAGGAGTGAATGGTGGATTTGAACTGCCAACCTTGCAATTCAAACTGACCTGCGGTCTAGTGCTATCCTACAGCGCTATTATCTAATCCCCCTAACTCTGAGTATGGTATCTGTGAAGGGTGTGTGGACATTGCAAGGAATTATCAAACCCAGCAAAGAAACAGAGTGCCATGGGAGGGATTGTTGTT